ATGAAAAAAACATGATACCATATGCAAAGGGTTTATACTGAAAAGTATTGTCTTCCCCCAAGAGGCAGTAACTCTAAATCTTTTCTGATTTTATTTTTTATGAGACAATCTTGGTAATTTCAAATCACACATTTATTCCTCTATTTCTTAATTTATCAAATTTACTTATTTATTAACATCCCAGAATGAAAAATGAGGTTTAGCTCAGTTCTCTATCACTCTTTTCCCCCTCCCTCCTCACTTTCTCTTATTTTTTTGCAGTTATGTGCTGTTATATGATTATTCCCCATGCTTCTTGAAATAAAATACTACACCACTGTCTCTTATCCCTTCAATATTAGTTGAGGTCTCTTTCTCTCTCTCTCTCTTTAGTGAGACTAAGGTTTGAACCCAGGGCTTCATGCTTGCAAAGCAGGCACTCTGCCACTTGAGCCATGCCTCCAGTCCATTTTGCTTTTGCTCTGGTTATTTTGGAGATGGGATCTCATGATCTATTTGCCCAGGCTGGCCTGGAAGTGCAATCCTCCTAATCTCAGCCTCCCAAGTAGCTAGAATTTTAGGAGTGACCACCAGTGCCCAGCCTTAGTCAGCGTCTCTTGATTCCCTCCCATGGAAAGATGTACTGAGCCTATCTCAATTCTCTTCCACTTCTTTTTCTTTTTTACACTTCTCAGCTGCATTTTGACCTTTGTTGACAGCTGTATCCTGTGCTGTTGTTTTTATGGGGACTTCTCTATTTGTCTGTGGCTAATTGTAAAATTTGGAACTCAATTATTTTCTCTACATAAATAGCTCACTGCACAGCATATAGCAGGGTAAGATTGTCTTCCTTATCTGTGAATATAAAGTTTTTAGCACTTGGATTCACACCTGTAATCCTAGCTACTTAGGAGGCTAAGATTGGGAGGACCTCAGTGTGAGGAAATCCTGGGTGAAAAAGTTAGCGAGACCCCATCTCAACCAGTAAAAAGTTGGGCAAAGTGATTCATACCTGTCACTCCAGCTACACAGGTGGCATAAATAGGAGGATCTCAATCCAAGCCTGCCCACACATAAACACGAGACTCTATTTGAAAAATACCTAAGGCAAAAAGGACTGGGGTCATGGCTCAAGTGTAGAGTGCCTTCTTAGCAAGTACGAGGCCCTGAGTTCAAATTCCAACACCAAGAAAAATATCAGTTACCATAAAGAAATGGATTTTCATAGCAATAAACCATCGCAAGTTATGTTGAAAGTTAAGCAATGCAGTAAGATATTTATTAGCTCTAGGAGAAACAAAGTGTTGTCTAAGAAAAAACACAATATCACATAGCTTAGCTATGCGCACAGTCATAAAAACAGAAAATCTGAATATTCATTTAACCAAAGATTGTGATAAAAATTTGATTCAATAAAAGACTGAAATAATTTAATACTCATATGCAAAATAAAATGCAACTCAATGCTTACTTCATACTATATACAAAAAGAATTAATTAGAAAGCCACGTGCTGGTGGCTTATCCCGGTAATCTTAGCTACTCAGGAGGTAAAGATCAGGAGGATTATGGTTTGAGGCCAGCCCTCAAACTTGAAAATACCCAACACAAAAAAGGGCTGGTGGAGTGGCTCAAGTGGTAGAGCACCTGCCTAGCAATCGTGAGACTCTGAGATCAAATCCTAGTACCACCAAAAACATTAACTACAAATCGAGCACTGATCCAATTATAACAGCCAAAACTAGAAAACTTCAGAGCAAATAGTTGTGTGGCCTTGGGTTATATAAGACACAGTAACTGAGAAAAATATTTGCAAAACATATATTTGATTACAGACCTTTAGAAGATATAAAAGAAAAAGTCTGTAAAACATATATTTGATGAGATGTATATCCTGAATGTATAATTCTTAGGACAAATTATTAGGAGCCCAACCAAAAAAATGGACACTCTGACAAAGATATATGAATCTTTGTAAATAAACACATAAAAAGACTAGCATTATTAGTCATTCAGGGAAATGCAAATTACGACCTCAGTGAGACACTACCACTTACCTGCTAAAATGACTAAAATTTAAAAGCACTTGAATACCAAGTCAACAAGCAACCAGAACTTTCATACTTCATTAGTAGGGCTGCAAAACATTACAGCCATTTTGTTGTGCAGCTTGGCAGTTTCTGCTAAAGTTAAAACATGTCCTTAATGTCTGATGAAATGATTCCACTCCTGCGTAAGCAACCAAGAGAAATAAAGCCATATGTCCTCAGAATGGCCTGTAATATGGCTGTTTATAGTACTTTTAGTCATAAATTCTAGAACTGGAAACAAGCCAAATGTCCATCCATAAATAAATAAGATATCGATACACTGGAGGAGAAAGGCCTGAGCTACTAATACCTACAAAAACATGTTCTTTAAAGCATGGTGAGTGAAGGAAATCACACACATGAACTCCAATTTCACTCACATGACATTTTAGAAAATGCAATACTACAGTGAAAGAAAGCAGATAGTAGTTGCCAGAAATAGTGGATTAAGGAGGGGGATTGACTGCAGAACTTTTTAGGGTAATTTCAGTATGATACATGTTGGTTTCATGCTTCCATTGTATAAAATGACCCCATATACAATGAGCAAAACCCACTGAACTGTACACTTAAAATGTTATTGTATGTAAACTGTACTTCAGTAAGGCCTGTCTTTAAAACTTACTGGGAGAATGAAGATGGGAATGGCAGAAGTATGTGTCCTAAATTTTAATTTGTAGTCAGAACACCATAGATGTAAAAAAATGGAAACAGACGTGCAAGTTTGCTATCTGTATCTGGAGGTCAGAAGCACCTGTGAGTTAAGTAGATGCCTCTTGGAGGGTTGGGAACCAGACTTGGTAGCGAGACAGCTGTTACCAGTGTAGTACCATTTGACTTTTTTTTTAAGCTCTGTGTGTGTTCTTGCTTTAACAAATATCAAGATTATTGGGGTTTTTAAGTGAGAAAAGGTTTGGGATTGAAGGGTACCTAGTCTAGTGCAGGAAGAATGTTTGAAATCCTTGAAAACCAACAGAAACCGAAGTTCCCTCCCAGTCACTGATTCTTTTGTTCGAGGGCAGGGACCTTCCAGGCCCTTCACAGTCTAGCTGACCCTGAGCCTATTCTTTCTTTGGCTTTTTGAATATTCAGTAGAGCCTCATTGACAGGTCATTCTTTGTAGGTAACTGAAGCTGCAGACTCTTCCTAATCTGAAAAGTACATTGGGTTTCATAAGAGAACTTACCCTAACTATTGATAGCTAGGCTGGGGTGTTCTTAGGCAATTTCTTGAGCTGTATAGTAAGGTTTGTGCACTTTCTGTATTATAGCCAATAATTCTTTATCCCAGGTGATTCTATTTGTGAGGTTCCACCTCCCTCCAAAAGGCAAAACCAAGCTATTGTTTAGGAATTCATACAAAGGTAGTAAAAATACAGAGCCAGGCTAATGACCACCTTTGAGATTCAGAAGGGGCTGGTGAATGTATGTTTTATTTGAGCAGACTAAAGAATTTAGTAGACTCAAATTAATGTAAATGTCTATCAAGAGGGTACTATTTAATGGTAATGGAAATGTGTTATGTACCTTAAAAATGAGGCAGCTACCATAAGGATCTAATAATGTTCAAATTGTGTCATAACATGACAAAAGCCATGTTAGAAATAAATCTGGTATGACACCACACATGTATACACATAGAAAACAACATATTTTATTTATTAAGTGTAATTATATATGCATATATATATAGGAAAAGTCTCTCATCTCTAGAAGCATAGGGATGAAACTGGCAATGCTGAAGAACGGAAACTGGAACAAGAGACTTCTTGCTTTTTTTTTTTTGAATTCTGTATCATGTGCATTTGTTCCAAATCAAATAAAAAAGAATCATTTCTTTTTTAAGACACTTGTCTGTTGCAGGGTTTGTTCCAGATTTTATGACTGGGCATAACTTTATTGTAAAGATCTTTAGCAAAGAAGAGGAATTGGCATTCAAATATGGCCAGTTGGCCATGACTGTTATAAGGGCAGTCTTTTCTTTGGGCTGGGAATAGAACCCAAAGCCCCACACGTACTCAACATGTGCTCTGTCACCATGCACCATCCCCTCCCCTACAAAGCCTTTTCTAAGCAAGCATTTCTCACCTGTTATGAACCTGGCACTGAGTTAGATGCCATGAAGAATAAGGATAAGTGGTGCAAAATCGAAGCCTTTGTGAAGGGGAAGTCAGTGAGCATGAGAAGGAAGGGAAGAAGAAATGGAGGAGATGCTGGAATGCTCTTGCTTTGTCCACTTAATTTAGTTGTTGGTTATCTTAATAAATAGGATTAGATCACGCTTCCTGTCTTGACAAGTCTTGCAAATCAACTAGGAAATCCACTTTTATACACTAATCCCACACTAGGCAGAGTATTAAACACTTCAGTGGTAAAATATTCAGCTTCCTATGCCTCTAGCTTTCCCATTATTTCTGTTCCTTCATTTTCAATTCCCAAGAAGACATAGATGAGACCCTAAGTTGGTGGCTTTCTGTATCCTTGCTCCATTTGATATTCACCAATGATAATGAACCCCAACAGATAATGCAGCTGTTGTGCTGAAAGCTCAAAGCAATCATGGGGGTCAGGGGTCAGAGGGCCTTCACCCCACAGACTGGGCAGGTTTCCATTCTTTACTAAGGATGACGGTATTGGGATGAAGGAGTGTGAAAAAGAGACGTCCTTTTGATGTCAATCAACTGAAAACAAAAGCCTTGCCTCCTGTTTGTTGAGATTCTCATTTAGCTGTGGGTATGTTTTGTAAACTCTTAAATTCTTTCAGTCATTTCTTTTCTTTTTCTTTTTTACTCCCCCCTCCCCCCTTTTTGGCAGTTCTGGGGGTTTGAACTCAGGGCCTCATGTGTACTAGGCAGGCGCTCTATCACTTGACTAACCCTTCTAGTCATTTCCAAAAATAGCTTTGGGGAGGAGAGGGTAACGATGGATTTAAGTCATCTTAAAGGACAGAGGTTTAGAAGCATTTCGTTGTTGAAGTGATCCAAACCCATGCACGTCATTTCCTCTTCAAAATCCCACTTGCTGCTCTTGGCCGGCAGTGGATACTGTTGATGAGGGTGGGAGCTGTAACTGAGCACAAAGGGGTCTTGTGGAGTCCCGTGGTATGTAAGGGAAGGCATATAGCCGTTGAAATCCACGGGCACTTTCTCCTCATAAAAATCACCTCCCGAATTTGGCCACACGGTATGACAGCTAGTTTGAGCTGCAAGTGGTTCCAATGGAATCTGCTGGGGACAGGGCTCCAAAGAGTTCTGGGAAGGATAGAAGTCACAAGCCCAGCTGGTCAGAGGAAAGGGGTAACTAGGACAACAGTTGTCATTAATAGGGTTTCTGCCCAAAGAAGCGTTTTTATGCCAGGCTTGAAGATCATTGTAATCTGAGTAGACTCCAGAGGCAGAAGGCTGAAACACGTCTCCATTATTGTAGATCTTACTATTAGACGATTTGCATTTTTCATAGAGTTTAGTAGAGTCCAAGGTGGAAGTCGGGTCTGCTAAGTCATTGGTTTCCCCCAAATCATAACTCTTGGAGAAGGACAAGCAATCACTCAGCGAGTTCTGCTGGGGAGCGTTAGCTATTGAAGGTCCACTGTAACTACCAGGCAACTGGACGCCTTCCTGGAATGACCAGGTTAAAGGTAAACTTCCCTGACTTTGTGTTTCACCTGGAAGAGACTGGAAGAAAAGTGAAATGCTCATGTTAATAATAAGTTAAGTAAATCCACACAGCTGCCATAGCACACGAGCTACGCCACAAATCAATGCCTCACCACAAGTTCCTCATTCCTTTCATGCTTAAGGTCAGACACACAGGAGCTTAGCCACAGCCATGAGAGAAGGAAGGAAAGGCTGTCTCCATTTGCAGTTTAGAGCTTGCTAACCAGTTAGGAGCCAAGGTCACTCTGTGGACTCATGAGTGTGGTTAAGAAGTTTCACACTCAAAGTTAAATCTCATATCCTCAAAACTTATAAGGAGCTATTTAAGAAAAGCAAGGTACAGCACCAAAGAGTTTTATTATTCTTAGTACAAATCTCATGGAGTCTCTCTCTCCCACCCATTCTCTCCCCTGCCTTGATGTTTTTATTTTTCCATCTGAGAGACCAGGGTTTTGTTTGTTTGTGTTTCTCCTTTAGGGACTTTTCTCTGAACTTCTGGAAATTTTGTTGAATCTAGGACCTCTAGAACATGAAGTGATCACTTTGTTTTTATAAATGGGGAAGCATATTGTTCTCCAGTTAATCATAAGAGAAGAATCTGACTGAGAGGAAAGCTGTGTTCTCAGTTATGTGAAGCTATCAGCTTATAAGAGGACAGGTTTAGGGGGAGGACAGAAAGGGTTATGAACAAGTAGAGTGAGCAGGCGGGAGCAACTGCCCTCAGCATGGCTGGAACAAAGGATGAGCCACCAGCCATTTGAGTTTGGGAGGTCACATTTCCTTACAACAGACTCAAGTCACTGTTCTTTCTGTGCAAGGTGCATTTAGAGGCTCAAGGAATAGACCAGCTCCATCTCTGTTCTACTGAAAAGAAACGTGGAGCTCTCAACAGTATAAAAAGTACAGGATTATCAGCACTATTCAGCAGACAAACATACACTGATGGCATAATGCTCATCTACAGTTCCCCGCTGTCCTGGAACTCCAGATCTTCCTGCCTCAGTCTCCTGAGCGCTGGGATTACAGGCATGCATATCCTGCCCAGCTTAGAAACTATTTATTTCTTTTGGGTATAATAAACTAACAATCTATTTTGAGGATAATGGAAATTCTGAAGGACAAAAAAAGAGCATAAAGCTAAGATTTTGTGGAAATCATTTTACATGATCGATTCTAATTTATAATAGAACCAAACTGTACAATGCCAAATACAGATTAAGTATTAATTCAAAGTCTTTTTTAAATTGTAGTGAAGATGATTCTACAATCATATGGAATTTACGGGAAGCGTGTTACAAAGGCAGTAGACATTAACAATAAAAACCTCAGATTCACTTTCTTTGGTGGGTGCTTGTTTATAGATGAGCCTGACTGTATATGACTGTTGACTTTTATTTGTCAGCAAAGGACCAGGGACATCTACGACCCCCACCACAGGGGTGACAGTTGCTGAAGAGCCTGAACACCCATGGGGATGGGTTACCTTTGTATCTGGGGTCCCCTTCAGCTTTAAGGAGCTGGAGGCAGATGCCATGTGCACTTTCTTCATTGCTCTTCTTGCCTCTGCTTCTAGCTTGGTTTCTGGCTTTGGATGATCGTGCTCTCCCTTTGACTTAAAGGAGGTGAGGAAGCAAACAGGAAGCAAGGTAAGGAACTGGATCGCACCTCCCCATGTGTAAGGTCTCACTCAGTGTGCTACTGTGTGCCTGTTGCAACCAGATTGGAGAAACTTTGCAGCTCCTCCAAGCCCACCATGCTCCTGCCCACCCATCTGCCTTTGCTTACACGGTCCTTTCCTCCTGGAAGCCTCACCCATCCACTTCCTATAGTGTGGACAGGACATTAATAAACATGGCTGCCCGATCTCACATCCTCTTCAGCACAGCCCTTGAGGTACACGCCATCATTATCGAAGTTTACAGAGCAGGAACTGAGGTATGGGGCGATCATGCCATTTGGGTGACTTCCTCTCCTAAGTGGGCAACCTGGGCTTCCCGTGACTAGAGCCAGCCAAGCTGACAGCCAGTTGGGAAACAGCCAGGCATTTTGTGAGCTGATTGTTAAAAATGGCTAATGTCAACGAGCCACGATGGGAATGGTTACATCACAGAAATTGGCAAGTGCTCTGAATTAGGACATTTTCTTCTGGAGAGCTGGCATGCCAGTACTCCTCTGATTCAAAACCCAGTCTGTCGTCGGAGTCCTTTCTTCACTGCCCTTGTTAGAGCTTCTTACAAACTTTACAGAAAATCGGGGCTTCGGGAAGGGGAAATAAGTTGTTAGGGTGTCCACAAATAGCTCAAAGTTAGAACTGGCATTCAAAGTCAGGTCTGTTGAAGGCTGTGTGGCTCAAGTGTGACCAAAGTGACTGTCGCCTCCCCTAAGAAGAGACAGGCACTCAGCCAGCTCCCTTCTTGGGCTTCCAGGACTTCCAACCTCACTGTAGTGTCGGGGCAGATACTTGCTGCCTCAGAGGGCGAGCCTCCAGGGTTGGCACAGGGTTTCATGCATCTGTGTGTCCCTAGCCTCTGATGGAACTCCTCTGGAAACATCTGTCAAATTAGAGAAGCAGAATAATGAACTTAAATCCAACCTGGAAAAATATAAAGCGTCCATCATGCCTCCAGAAGTTGGTGACTGGGAAGCCCCCGTGGCCTCGGCAGGGAATTAGCTTCAGAGGTCCATTGCAGTTGGGACAGCACTTTCCTATAGAAGAGCAGAAGAAAGTGACCACACAGACTAAGCCTCTAGGGTGATTTCTGAGTTGGTACAGCCCTGCTGGTTTTGGCCTTGACTCTAGGATGACAAAGAATCAACTGGGTGGTTTGATGGGCTTCCCTCCACTAGGTGTTACCCTGACACTTGGAGACCTGGTCACCACAATAGTCAAGCTGAGCTCACACATGGATAGGAGAAGCAGCTGCCTAACATGTGGGGGTATTTCACAGGTTGAACAGCTCCCTCCTTATTTATGGTACTTTAAAATTCTTCGTCAAAAGGAAAAAATTCTTTCATTTCACAATTAAAACTAATTGGTCAGTCTCAGTGGCTCACATCTGTAATCCTAGCTACTCAAGTGGAAGAGATCAGAAGGATTGTGGTGTGAGGGCAGCCTGAATAAACAGTAAGACCCCATCTCAATCAATGAAAAGCTGGGTGTGGTGACACACACCTACCATCACAGCTATACGGGAAATGTAAATGAAGGATCAGTCCAGGCCGGCTCAGGCATAAAAGCAAGACCCTATTTGAAAAATAAGTAAAGCAAAAAGGTCTGGGGGTGTGGCTCAGGAGGTAGAGCGCCTGCTTTGCAAGCATAAAGCCCTGAGTTCAGACCCCAGTACTGCAAAGCCACATGGGACTGAGAACACAACCACTGAATTTTGACTGATAGCAGATCCTAACCTAAGAGCAAGTTCTTCTGCTAGGGAAGAACACGAAGTAACTTGAGGTCTAAACTGGTCTAAGGCACAAGGAACCCAGAGTGCATCGATTTCACAATCCAGTGAGTGCGACCAAATAAAAAGAACAAATGACACGAACCTCAATGGACAGAACTGAATCTCACCTCAAACTGACCCCACTGCGGCCACCCCTGGCGAATGGATTCATTTAGGGGCTCATTTCCCAACATGACAGAAGACAAGTCTGGCAAACTACTTCCTACTGAACTTTCGTGGGTCACTGATGACTGAAAGTCAGCCCCCTGTTTTGGGTCGGGTGCCTCAACCCCAGGGAGCAGTTTTCATGGCGGGAACCCTGGACCTGGTATACGTGTGGGACGGGTCCTGGGTGGTGAGGGGCTGGAAGATGGGTGCTTCCCTTGGCTGCTCAATGGCAGAAGGGTCTCACTCCTCACTACACTCCATTGCAAGGGTTGCTTAGGCCCTTGGGATGTGGAAAGGCTGTTTGAATGGATGCCAGCTTCCTTGCCAGTGCCACCCAGTGTCACTCACGCTGCTGCTTCTGCCGGGCTTTGTCGCAGATGGCAGGCCTCAAGTAGATCTTGCGCCCCTCCTCGGTGGAGCAGTCACGGCTGCACACCACCACGCCCAGGCAGGATTTCTTGAGGATGCGGGAGTTGTGGTTATTCGTGTTGCGCATCGCCCAGCTGCTCAGGTGCCGCTGTGCGCTCCTGTCCTCCGAGCTGTAGATGTGCTTCACGTAGGAGTCTGGCCACTCCTGGAACCAGTCGGTCCTCTTCACGTTCTGATAGAAGCGCAAAGAGCACCACTAGGTGAGCCAGAACACTCAGTGGCCCCTGGCTGTACGCTCACGGATGTGAGGGATGGTTGGGCCATCGGGAACTGAGCAAGGACTGGCAAAGGCTGCCTAAATTGAATTCTGACAGTGGGACCTGGGAACACAATACCACAGCGGCAAGATGAGGGCTGTGTCTAACAGCCATTTGGTTACAGGAATTGAACCCCTCCAAGTTCTATCTGATTGATGTTCCTCTAGTTGTTGGTGATAAAAGAAATGAGTGTTTTTCTCAGGAAGAATTTTTCAGGTGAAGTAACATCACTGTGGTCTTACACAACAGTCTTGGAAAACTCTGTGGAGTGAGATAATGGCTCATTCCACTGAGGTTACCTTATTGGGAATCCTACAAGTTTATGCAAAGTCACCAGAGATAAACAGTGAGGAGACTGGAGAACCCTGGTCCAGAGAGGTCCCAAGATCCAACTCTCTCCCCCATGGAAACCTCTTCCTTTTCTCTGTCCCACGCTTAGTGCCTCAACCACGGCAGAAGGCTCAAGACCAGCATCTGTGTTCTTGCCCAGGAATGGCAGAATTTCCCATGCACGCATACATCTGACTAACCTCTCCCGTGAGAGGTCAGCAACAAAGGGAGCTGTTGTTTACTGGGTAGACTTTCAGTTTTGCAAGGTGAAAAAGTCCTACAGATCGGTTACACAATGATATGCAGGAAGTGACTGCTACTGGACTGTACACTTACTAAGATGGCACGTTTTATGAAATAATACTAAAAGGTCCTTATCTTATACTTATTTCATTTCTGGTGCCTGTTTCTCCATCTGTAAAATGGGGGTGAAGAGACCTGCCTACCTCAAGGGTTGTTCTGAGGATTAAATATTATTATAGAAAAGACTTAGCACAGCACCCTGGCTCTAAGTAAATGTTAGTCACTGGCAGTGTGACTCACGTTCCTGGTCACTACACTGGAGACAGATGTTGCATTTGTCAGATCTGCCTAGTTCATAGAATGAAAATCATCAAACAGGCCAAATGGTCTCAGAGGTCAGATTTACTCTGTGTCCATCCTTGCCACATTCAGAAACTAAGCATGATTGATGTAAGAATATTTTTTTATCTAGAAGAATCTAGAAGGCTGGAGTAGAAAATTCTGGAAGGTCCAGAAGAAGAGATCAGCCTGCTTCTCCTTTGCTTCTCCAACAAGAAAGCACAGCATGGAAAATGAGAAAAGAAAGACAAGAAACTTTAGAAGGAAAAACGGTATCATCAGTGTCAGGATGGGCATGATCCTCTGAGTTGGACTTCAAGTTCAGAACAAGCCAAAGAGCATGAAGTAGCCCAAGAAGAGAAGCGGGAAGGCGCATGAGGTCCCTCTGGTCCAGTGGGCAGCTACAGGTGGAGTCTCCCATTGAAGGCACAGGCAGGCTGAGATGCTGACTGGACTGTCTGCTTTCCAGGTCCTTTCCTCTCTTCCCCAGTTCCCTGGCAATGCAGAACTTGATCAGATTCATTGCCCAAGGTGAGAAGCTCCCCAGGCAGCACCCCCATCCCTGTTCTCTCCCTTCTCACTTCTGCCCAAAAGCCTCAACTCTGCTCTCTTGGGTTCTTTCACAGAAACATCATAGTTAACAAATCAGACTATTTTATCTTTTGAAATAATAAAAGTGTAGCTTAAAACCCTAGAATATTACGTATCTTTAATCATTTGGACTATAAAAATCCGATATTTGAGTCATATTATTCCAGTGCAATACACAGTCATCAGGACAGTAGAGAAAAGGGGATAAAAGGGGTTTAGGGAAAAGCTTATTTTTTGATGTTTTAAAGATGAATGGCTCCTTCAAGCTGGTCAGCACCGTAAACCCCATGATTCAGGAGAAGGGGAACATATTAGTAAGAGCAGCTCAGGTGTTCCAACTGAGCGAAGACCCCCTGCCTACAGAAGTGACCCCCTTCTTTCCACTGACACCCCAGTTTTCTAGCTTCATTAATGGTGCAGTAATAAGTTGGACAATGCCTGAACTAAGAAAATTACTAGGAGTAAATGTGATCACAGCAACATTCTTTTGTCAATGGCCAGCCTTTTGACCTGACATTTAGTGAGCTCTTTGACATCTTTTTACACTGAAAGTAAGAGAAAACCCAGCTCTCAATAATGCAAAATAACTGAAGCATCAAATGGGCCACAGGAATTTCTGAAAATCTTAACTTAAGACATCAGAGAGGTAAAACTTGAAAGCAAAGAATAATCATTTCTTAAATCTTGTTCAGCAAGTTCCCATTAAGTATTTTCTTCGGTGTTTTTGAAATAGGGCTTTGCTATGTAACTCTAGCTGGACTGGAACTCGTGATCCTTCTACCTCAGACTCCCAAGTATTGGAATACAGGTGTACACCACCAAGGCTGGCTCTTTCTTCTTTTTATACTTTTGTTTATTTTAATTCTTAACCTTTCATGAGTAACACTTTATTTTTTCTCTTGGTTAAGAAGTTTATAATTGAAAGGGACTATTCCTAAGGTCTCTAACATGTAAATCTAACTAATCTACATTTTATAATCTCCTGAGTAACATCATTTGGACTTTAATTGGTATTTCTGTGATTTCTGTGTGTGATTTTTTTTACTAGGAGATTAAATTCTCCAACTCACTCAAAACCTTTGAAGTTCTATGCAAAGAGCACTCTTGATATGCCCTCACTTTAATTTAACTTAGTCACTTGAAGTTTTAATAGGAGAACATAAGAATTAGGTATTACTGCCATATAAAACTATTACAAATTCTGAAATAAGGTATCAAAAATGTTTACATCATTATTATAAAACTTACTTTCATAGTTCACTCTTATGTAAAGTAATAATCTACCAGGTTTTCTATAATTATATGAATAGTTTATTAAGTATTTATACCAAGTACTTCCAAAGAGAACAGAGATAGCAAATAGACATTTTAAGCAAGTCAGGTGGAAGGAAAATTTAGATGTTACTTAGGGAAAAGGGAAAAAAGGAATTCAACTAGTAGTTTAATCTACACATAAGTGTAGGACCTTATGTCTTCCGGGGCAAGTAAAATCGAATTCTAAGTGTTATCAATGGGAGAAATTCACTTTAATAAAATGCTGCTATGTCAGTCAGCTCAAGAATTACTCCTTAGAGACTGGGCAATGGCTCAAGCCTGTATTCTTAGCTAGTCAGGAGGTGGAGACTGGTGGGGCACATCTGTAATCTCAGCACTCAGGAGGCTAAGGCAGGAACATTGTGAGTTTGAGGCCAGTCTGGGCTGCACAGTGAGTTCAAAACCAACAGGGCTGCATATGAGATCCTGTCTCATAAAAACAACAACTCCCCTAAAAAAAAACCCACTACAACAACAGCAACAACAAAAAATACTCCAAATCCTTCAGATTGTATGAGTTAATGGTTTAGTGTGGCTTAGGTCATGGGTTTGATTTCACAACTGCTCAGTGCTTAAGAACAAAATGATTCAGAGTATTTGTCACCTTGGTGCTATTGGAACAGCCCTACTTCTACTTAGAGAAACTGACTGGTGTTAGGACAAGTGGAGCTCTCCTCTCTCTGTGAAATGGCTTTGAATTCCTTCTCAATTTTCAACCAAAAAGAAAAAAAAAACTTTCTTGCAAGGTGTTCTCTTAAGTATTATCATCAGTGTTGAAGGGAGTGTAGCACTGTAAAATGACCACGTAATCCACACTTTTTTAGACTGGACTTCTAAGTAATCACATTGAGCTTCAATTCATCGTGCTGTAATCCACATGTTTAATGAAGGAAAGACAAAACCCAAACCAGACACTTTCTGCTTGGACCAAGCAAACTCTAAAGCAATTATATTTAAACTTCCCAAATGCAAATTAAGGGTAATAGAATGAGGAAGCAAATTGATGCATTGGCCTGGAATGAAGAGATTTTTACCAACCATGGTTGTAAGAAGCCAAGTGTCTGTTCTTCTGAGCCTGGTCCGTGGTGGTTGGATCAAGGAGAAACGAGATCGAAACAGGGGAGTCCAGAAACAAACGAAATAAATGAAGACTTATAGAAAACAACAATAACCAAAAAAGAAAATGTGTAGCTGAAAGAAGGAAGAAACAGCAAAACAAAAATGGGAGAAATGCGTTACTAGGGCAATAGAGTTGGAAGGACACTAGGATCTGATCATGATGCTTTCCAGCCCCACAAGGGCTCCGCTACCTGTGCACCAACTGAATCCACTGGGATCGCCTGATCCCACACCACCTGTCCAGCCCACAGAACTCCAGTCTTCTTGCTGAACACCTGTGAACAACTCCCTCAAGTGTAGACAGCTAAGAGCCTTCAGACTCTAGCACCCTACCCTTCTCCTTGATCATCAGAGCATTTGCCAAAGCCTGTGCCTTGCTGCCCACACCAGGGTCCTGCTGAATTCCACTTCTCTCTTCAAGCACCTCTAGCATTTTATGAACATGGCATTGATTCTCTAGGAACATGCTCCAGTGTCTGGAGCATTCTAGCCACTCAAAAACGTGATGTCCATGCTAAAAGCGAGAGCACACAAGGGAGATATGAGGATAGGTAAGACACCTAAAAAACTAGCTAGCATTTGTTGCCTTTAATGCGGAGAAACTAAAGCAGATACCTTAAAGCAGCTGAGGCCAATAGGAAAAGGGGAACAGGTACTAGAGAAAAGGTGAGATCAAAAAGAATTAACCTAGAAGGTAACACCCACGCACAGGAAATCAATGTGAGTCAATGCCCTGTATAGCTATCCTTATCTCAACCAGCAAAAACCCTTGGTCCTTCCTATTATTGCTTATACTCTCTCTTCAACAAAATTAGAAATAAGGGCAAAATAGTTTCTGCTGGGTATTGAGGGGGGGGAGAGGGAGGGGGCGGAGTGGGTGGTAAGGGAGGGGGTGGGGGCAGGGGGGAGAAATGAACCAAGCTTTGTATGCACATATGAATAATAAAAGAAAAATGAAAAAAATAAAAAAAGAAACAGCAAGAATAAAGTCTTGCTTATTCTAAAAAAAAAACCGTGATGTCCAGAGACTAGTGGAGTGGTTCAAGAGGTTGAACAGCTACCTGGCAAACATGAGGCCTTGAGTTCAAACCCCGGTACTGACAAAAAATAGAAACTAAAAATATCTGATGTTCTAAAGAGGTAAAAAAATTAACCCATACATCTTGATGTAACTGCAATGTATAAAAGGACGCGGAGATTCCAGGACCAGAAGATGAGCACTGGGTAAGCAATGACCCCTAATTACCCAATTAGCATTTATTCATTGGAAGCTGAAGTGTGTGAGAAGAGGAATGGAAAAGGAATTTGCCGTGTGTTGGCAAAAGTAATTTTTCTAGCAAGAACGTAAAATTATGAAAAACAAACTGAATTATTTGGATAGGTGGGAGAGAGAATATAGTTTGGAAACTATAATAATAAAAAGACATCGCGTTTTATTCTTTGAATCACATTTTTTATGCCCAAACAAGTGAACCGAAATACATTAATTACCTGAGGGGCTCCACAGGAAGCCAGCTCCATGTAAAAGGTAATTTAGGGCCGTGCCTCCTTGCACAGCTCCCCTCTCCACCACCACAGGAGAGCCACATTTGGGAAAACACTGGTGAGAAGACTACCTTCCGAAGTAAAGAAACCTGTTTAAGGGTGAGCAGGTGAAGAAGATGTGGTATGTAGGCACAATGGAGTTTAATTCAGCCATAAAGTAGAAACAAAATTGTGTCATCTGCAGGAAAATGAATGCAATTGTAGATTACCACGTTAAGCAAAATAAGTTATTTCCTTCGCCTGTGGACTTTAGGGAGATAAAAAAGGCATGAAAGTAAAAGGGGTCTGTTAGGAACGTGGGAGGGGAAAGGGGATGGAGATAAGACAGGGTAAGGTAAATGTGATCGAAGAACATTATAAGCATATATAGAAATGTCACATGAAAACCTTCACCTTATACAATTACTATACACTAATTAAAAAAGGGAAAATCTGTTTAATTTTGTTGAGCCTAGTGTTTCCCCTTTTCTTTCTTAACACCTTTTAAAATTCCTTGTAGCTTATACTCTGCAGGACACATTTTGGAAAACACTGGTCTAAACAGCCAGAGACTGAGGTGGGATAGGTAGAGAGTTACTATTTTACAGGTCAAGAATTAGGACTCAAAGTCAATTTGTCCAGAGTCACACAGACAATAAGCAATGAAGCCATTCATTAATGAACGCTATACTCGTTATTTGCACTAAGCATGAAGCTAACAGTTCTGAATCCTGAACTGTTAGAATCAGTAAGGACACAGGAGCCCATTTGGTGTAATCCCCTCACTTGCAGAACAGGAAAGGGGTTTTCAGAAGAAGTAAATGACTCTCAGAGGCTCTACAAATGGAGGTGCAGCTGGAACTCAAATCCAGGGTTTGCTTCTCCCAGTCCTGAGCTTTTCATAGTGCACCCTCTCTGCCTTCAGATTCTTTAGAAAGTTTTCAGTATTTTTAAAATTTTGTACCTTAACTGGGTTTTTTTTTAGTACTGGGATGTGAACTTAAGGCTTCACCTTGCTAGGCAGGCGCTATAGCCATTCTGCCAGTCATCTTTTTTTTGTTATTGTTGGGTGTTTTCAAGATAAGGTCTTGCAAACTATTTGCCCAGGCTGGCTTCGAACCGAGATCCTCCCGATCTCTGCCTCCTGAGTCGCTATGATTACAGGCGTGAGCCACCCGCACCTGGCCCTTGACTGGTTCTTGATATGATTATGAAGCTAGCACAAACTCAGATGAGACAGTATTGTGCCTGCTCCGAAAATTATTAAGGCATATTTGCATTTTTAATTATTTGACAAGCTGGAAGACACTGAGCTAGTTCCATAAGCAATCTCAGCATCTTTTCCATTAACCATAAATGATACATTCCTAAAAGTGAATGTGTATTTTTACCACAGGTTTCTCTGCTTCATGTCCTAGGAAGCTAAGAATGCTTTTGGCTTTGGACATTCATGTCAGAACATGTGATGGTTCGAGCCCTGCGTTTCCCTCCAGGGAAGGGGCTCTCCCTCCTTCGTTTATGGATCTGATAAATGATATGGACTGTCTGCCTCTGAAACTGCTGCCCACCATCTCAGGAACTCTCAGACTCACTGAAATCCTGGCCTAGATGAGGCCTTGTAACATTTTCTAAGTGTCTGCTGACTTCAGCTCTTCATTTTTCTACGATGAGCTCTTACTTGGTGATTACAATCATGAAATGAGGAATAGAAAGAAATATGGGATCCTGAGCCAAGAAGTATTAAAATTTAAAGCTTCCTGAGCTGGAGGCCTGGCTCAAATGATAGAGTGCTTCCTAGCAAGCACAAAGTCCTGAGTTCAAACACCAGTGCCACAAGAAATAAAATAAAATAAAGTTTGCCCAGAAGAGTGGTAATTACTGTACTACCCATTAAGAGCAGCTACAAGCCGGAGCTGGTGGCTCACACCTGTAATCCTAGCTATTTAGGACACAGAGATCAAAAGGATCTTGGTTCAAAGCCAGCCCCAGGCAAATAGTTTGAGAGACCCTATCTCCAAAAAACCCATCATAAAAAAAAGTGCTGGTGGCTCAAGTGGTAAGAGTGCATGCCTAGCAAGTGTGAGACCCCGAGTTCAAACCCCAGTGTTGCCAAAAAAAAAAAAAAAAGAGCAACTATAAACACGTACCTAGAATGAATATTTACACATACCTAGAATGAATAAACCATCTTAGTTGTGGTTTATTTAATCTCTTTTAAATAAATGGCAAGTTAGGCTCCCCAGTAGATCCTCAGGATCTACCCAGGGAGACCATAAAGGGAATTGAAGGAGAAAAATAGAGAGAAACAAACAAAAAAAGTCTTCATTAGAGCGGAATTCCAGAATGTCTGAAAGTCAAGACTGGAATCTCCATCCCTTCTCCCCTTCTTGGGATAATTCAATTTCCTTATGCCCCAGAGTCAGGCAAACTGGATAGACTTTTTCATATCTTGGTACTGGTAGTCTCCAGCCCTAGTGTTCTAGACACTTTTTCAAACCACTTCCAGTAAAAATATCTGCAAATGTCAAGAAGGGAGGACAAAGAAGCCAGAAATAATACACATGGAAAACAACTAATTTTAAACAACTAATACTTTCAGTCTAATTAAGAAATAAAAAGTCAGTTACAAGCTGGGTGTGGTGGCTCACGCCCATAATCCCAGCACTCGAGAGGCAGGGGCTGGAGGGCCATGAGTTCCAGGCCAGCCTCGGCTACACAGCAACTTGAGACCAACTTAGGATACATGGTGAAATCCTGTCTTAAAAAAAAAAATAGCAGCTAATTGCTAAAGAAGAGGACAAGAAAAATAAGAAACGAAAGGCACTCTATAGCTAGAAATCAAACGTGTGTGTAGATGTGTGGCATTTACAAAGGTTCTACAAGAGTCTGCTGTATTCCACAAAAGCACTATCATTTATCACTCAGACATTCCAGCTTAGGTATAGTTAACCACAGCCGGGCACTGGTGGCTCATGGCTATAATCCTAGTTATTTGGGAGGCAAATATCAAGAGGACTGCTATTTAGCCAGGCACTGGTAGCTCACGCCTGTAATCCTAGCTAACCCAGGAAGCAGAGTTCAGGAGGATAGCAATTCGAAGCCAGCCAGAGCAAATACTTCACAAGACCCCATTTCAAAAAAGCTGGTGGCTCACACCTATAATCCTAGCGACTCACGAGGCAGAGATCAGGAGGATAACGGTTCAAAGCCAGCCCAGACAAATAGTTCACAAGGTCCAATCTCAAAACAACCCATCACAAAAAAAAGGCTCAGTTTGAGGCCAGCCCGGCAAAAAAAGGCAAGACCCTATCTCAAAAATACCCAGCACAAAAAAAAGGGTTCGCAGTGTGGCTCAAGTGGGAAAGTGTCTGCAAAACAAGCATAAGGCCCTGAATTCACACCCCAGTACTAGCCCGGCACTGGTGGCTCACACCTGTAATCCTAGTGACTCAAGAAGCAGAGATCAAGAGGATCGTGGTTTGGAGCCACCCAGGCAAATAGTTCACAAGATTCTATCACAAAAAAACCCATCACAAAAAAAAGGGCTGGTGGAGTGGCTCAAGGTATAGGCTCTGAACCTCAAAAAGAGAAAACAAACAAAATCCCTCAGTACTGCCAAAGAAAGAAAGAAAGAAAACTATAGCAAGTAAGGGAGCACAGGGACGTGGGCATCATAAGAAAATCTCCACGGGCAATGCAACCTGAGCCAAGCCAGCTTTGAAAGAAGAACGTGGTACTTTCTTGGTCTCAGCCTCTACCTGGGGGTGTGTGGGAAGTAAAGAGCTGCTCAAGGCAGTAGGTCTTACGTTGCTTCATAAATCTCCTCAGGGGGATGCCCAGCTGAAGTTCTGAGGGGGACATCACCCTGCTGGGACCCCCATTGATTCTTTCTAGGTCTTAGAGGTTGATCCTCAAAGCTCCCTAGCCAGAGCTAAAGGGGCAGGCCTGTATCAAGTGTGTACCTGGGCAGTTTCATGTCATTAATATCCCAGTTTAGTGTCTCTTTGTCCTCGGTGTCAAAGTCGTCGTGTTCCATGATAGCGTTGGGTCACTCAGTGTTCACCTTCCTCCTGATGAAGTAGAGGTTCTGCTCCCAAATGTTCTTGAGTTCGCTGGATCTGTCCACTCAAGCAGTGTAGACCAGAAGACCGTTTTCTGAGGCTAAAAAGTAAATGATCGTAATACTGATGATTCAAGGGATTAAAAAATAGTGTTTGCTTCATCAACACTTTTTTTGCAAGTACTGACATACTAATAAAAAACTGAATGTATTTTTTAGAAGTCAGGACCTTGTTCTTCATCAACTTGTGTAGGGGTGAGGAGGAGAGACCTGGACTGACTTCTACAGAAATGCCTCCATAAATTAGCTAACTTGTTGAACTTACAAGAAAGGACCATCTTATTGGATTTATCTAGAAGTATTTTCGTTAATCCAAATTGCCACAGGGATTAATTTTATTCTCCTCAATATAACTGGTGTGCACTGTGTATCTTCAAATACCATCAACTAATATCCTATGCTATCAGATTCCTCTGAAATAGGGTTTCTTAACCTTGGCACTGTCAGCATTTCAGACCAGAAATGGGGCTCTCTTGCATGCTCTGTACCCATTAGGGGCTAGTGGCAGCTCCCTGCCTTTCTAGTTGTGACAACCCAAACTATCTCTAGGCCAATGTCCATGGGGCAGAGGATAAACTGCCTCGTGAGAACGGCTCCTTTAGAAGTGTTTCTTAATGTTTGTTAACCCAAAGCACTCTAAGATTTTCTGACTTTATCTTCAGGAACAGCGCTGTTCCTCACTCTCAAGAAAATCCTGTCTCACTTCTTTCATAAATTTGTATTATGTAATGATATCCAGACATGTTTGTTTAAACCACATTTCTTCCCTCAGAAGAAACAGTACTCTAATTTCTAACGTTTACTAGTTAAAGAGAAATTAGGAGGAAAGAAAGGAAAAAAAGACAGAACAAAGGAACAAAATTTGAAATGTTCTCCCAAAAAAATGAATCATTTTGAGACGCGATGCTTGTTAGGATACAAAATGAAACCTGTTCTTCTGTGTAACATTTTCATCTGTTGGTACTTCTATAGAAACAAGGGACACGATGACATCATACAGAACTACTTAACAGTAAACTCAAACTACAGTTGCATTAACAAGGTGAGGAAGTCCAGAGAACGCTGTTCTTAGTTATTTATCATTATTTCGTACTGTCCATCACCGAGCCCCACCGTGGCAAAGTGCATGCATGTGTAAGACTGCTTACCCGAACGTGTAACTGAACTTTGGGGTCAGATGAGTTAAACTCAGCACTTCCTTTCTCTACCCACACACAGCTACCACCTCAGAAAGCATGACATCCTGCTCCCCAGTTTGAATACTGGTCCCCAAGACTAAATGACTCTGTGTGTGCGTGCATGTGTGGTACTGGGGATCAAACCCAGGACCTCAACCATGCTAGCCAGCACTCACCACTGAGCCACATCACAGCCCAAGGCTCATGAGTTTTAGGTAAAATTTTATGTTTGGAAAAGAAAAAATTAAGTAATTGAAGAAATGATTGCCTTTAATTCAATTTAAACCACAAGTCCAGGAGACGTAATATCAAGCAGTAGTTTTAGGCACTTATCTCTTTGAGAAGTAACCACAATAACTCTAATAGTAACAGCAGTTCAAAATTTGTTAAAATAATTAGAATAGATTTGCTTTTTTAGTTCTGAAGATGTAGCTCAATGGTAGAATGTGTGCATGAAGCCCTGGGTTCAATCACCAGCACCACCAAGAAGAAAATAGATTTGTTTTAATTTTTAGAAAGCCACATTTGCATTTTAAAAAAACAAAAATATTATTTTAAGTCAAGGGATATAGACATAATTCTCCCTTTTTTTTTAAATTAAGGTGAGAGGAATGAAAAATCTTGCTTAAGGAAAACTACATCCCTTTTTAGCTTTTTTTCTGATATAAACTTTTGCCAAACAAGTGAATATTAACTTAATATTTCCCTGAAATTTAAGAACAAAATGTGGGAAAGAAGAAAAGCCTACTTTGTAGCACTTAAATGAGCAAACTCAAATCTTCCCCAGCGTTTAAAAAAATTAAATTTGTCAAAACTTCCTTCTTATAAAGCATTTTGACCAAAATATATTCAATTTTCATCATTTCTTCAGCAAAACTAGAAGACCTAACCCTGCAGGAGCAGGTGGCCATCACCACATCACTTACATCAGCCTCTCCTTAGTGGCTCTGGCTTCCTTACCTTCTGCCTTCTTATCCAGATGCAGACAACACCATGTCATAAAATCTCATCTCTGGTTCAGGTCCCAGCAGGCGCTGGTCGTTTTCTGAGCTGACGTTCTTCCCTATTTCAGGTCAGAGTACACTATGCTAATGAGTTCTGGCACCAGTCCAATCAAAATCTCGATGCTTTCAGCTTGGGACAGGTAAGAGCAGCCTGCTTCTTCCCAGCATGCCAGCAATGTGATGAATATTCTATGGCGTGCCTCTGAACTTTTCTCTCCTTTATGTTAAGAGGATATTTTGGCTTAAATGGACATGGAAAAGAACCTCATGAAGAAATACAGATGTTTTCCTTCTTGTAGTAGTTTCATAGATTGAGCCCAAGGCAGACTGACTCATATTGGACCCCAATTCTCCCTACCTGTGAACAAGAGAGACAAGACAGACAGACACAGGGAAAGAGAAATATTACGGTGATGGAAATTACTGAAATAGGTAGTAGATAGCCAACATCTCCTAAACCAGAAATACCAAAACTCTCTCCTACTCCTAACAGTGATGATCCACTAAGTCTGAGTATTTTGATTCCCCCCAAATAATGCGACTCTTACCTCTCAAGATAGGTGCCAGCACAGTCTTCCTTCCAGAGACATTCTCAGTAACGCCCACGTCGGTTCCGTTCCAGGTAATTTGATAGGCTCTGGAGATACAGAGGAGAATTAAAGGTATTAAGGTCGGGCTAGTAGAAGAGATGAACAGAGGTACAGAATAAACCACATGTCATTTTAATATGTGGAATAAAGCCAGTCTAGAAATAAAGGAGTAAGTTATTAAGCAGAAAGGGGAAGAATGGGGGGGGACATCTATCACCAAGAGGATGCCCAGTCAGCTTTCTGCAGAAAAGTAGGATAAATATCACCAAGCACTGGAAGAGGGAGGCTCAGGCAACATCACGGGTGCCATTACGGCAGGAAGGTCCAGAGGCTTGGGGAGAAGGAAGACAGATCCAGAAAATGATGTGCCTGGGAAGCCTCACAATTGTGTTGGACAGCCCCAAGGGACTTGTGCCACGCTGAGATTTCGCACTGGTCTTTCAGTCCATGAACAGACTCCTCTTCTGTCTAGAGTTTAAGACCCTGTATACTTTTTTTGTACTTTATCTGAGCAATCTTGTTTTCTTCTCTGCATTAAAAAACCCCCTCTTTAGAAAGGAGGATTGTTTTCAATCCCTTAAACACATCGTAGAGGGATAAAACTCTAATACTGTGACAACTGAAAAAGAAAAACATCTGTATGGTCTAGTTCCAGAATCACAAAGCAGAGTAAAGAGTGCAGTTGGAGCTGAGAGGCATTGAGATGGTAACTTGCAGAGGTCTCCTCTCTTGAGTATCTTTTCCTATCTATGAATCTAAACCCTATCCACCCTTCAAAAGCCCAAAATGCCACCTCATTGTAAAACCTTCCAACACTATTCCAGAACACATGATTTCTCATTCCTGGTGTTCCAGAACTTTTAATCTGAATTATATGCTGATTTATATCACTTAGGACTAACATTTTTTTTTGAATTGCAAAGTAAATTCATGATTTTTTTTTTAAGTCATACCATCATCTCTCAGAAATTTTCACTATTAACACTTTGGTGGTGTCCTTTTAGACTTTTGTTTTCTTCTACATACATAGCCAAATGTAGATATGGTTGTAACCCAGTATTGCTTTTCATTGCTGACGTGTATTAGCCCTGGCTTCCCAGCTAGAATGCTGTTCCTTCACGGTGAAGTTATCTTCCCTTTTTCTTCCTCCTCACAGACAAATCTGCTGGCTTCCACTTTTAGTACCAGAGCCACCTTTGTCCCAAGTACAAAACCTACTGGGACAAGGAAGGAACCAAGACACTCCATCTCCACACTGATCAAGCTGTGACAACTTGTCCCAGACTAGTAATGGCACTTTTGCTTTCTTAAGGCTGAGGTCTCAATTAATTAAATCTTGCACTCTTGACATTGGCTCCATGCATGTTCTTGATAACAACGGTCACAGAAAAGCTTCCCCAGCCTGAACGCTTCCAGTGAGTCAGGTACCTGCAGTAACACGCTTGATTCTTGTAGGATCCCATCATGGTAGACACTACTCTTAGTGTGGCTTTTTGACAGAGGAGGAAGTTGAGGCTCAGACAAATAGTATCACACAAGTATCGAAGTGAGAGCTGGGGTAAGACTCAGACAGCCTTTTGGCCATGGTACTATATGGAGAGCCCTATGCTGGTCAGGGTCTGGAGCCTTTGTCTCCATTTCTGTACCAAGTTCCATGTGTGCCTTTCCAGCCTCCACCCTTCCCTAGAGAAAGAAACCCTTCCATAAGCCGGAGAGTTTGGAGGCCCTGTTGCTTGGTGACTAACTTCAGCAACTGGTGCTCCCTCTTCCCTTACATTCCCTTCACCCTGGGACCACCTCCTGAAATCATCCCAGTCTCTCTCATCAACAGTGATGCTTTCTGGTAGGGTAACTCTTCTTTGTGTAGAACTGAATCTCCAGCTGGTAGATACCAGCAACCTCCCAGTCACCATGTCAACGATTATCTGCTACGTTCATATTTCCAAATGTGCAAAGAGGGGCAAGGAGAGAGTTATGTTGCCCGGGTTCAAGATGACTAGCCCATACCCTCAATACTGATGGGGTTTGCTTAAACTACCACCTGCGATTTCCAGTTCACAGCCTGAAATTCACTTTTTTATACCTAATGGATGGACTCCTTCCACACATATAATTCTGTCTATCCTAGTATCTACCTTATCTCA